AAACCCACCAGCCACTCCTTGGAAGGAAGATGGGGCAATCTACTTCCGTAGTGATACTGCCTCAGAAACCCAAGGAGGGGTCACTATGGGGACTGACTCGAGGGCACATAACAATAACAAACTCCTTGTGCTCCTGTGGGTACTTTATTGTCATATTTTTATACAGCCCATACAGGGGCGAAAAAAGTGCACTGCCATTCTGTGGGATTGTTAAAAGTTTATTAAAAGTTTGATTTGTTTCTCCTCGTACCTATTTATGACAGATACCTATCTACTTCTTTTTCTGTTGGTTGGAGAGACAGAGAGAACCGCCATGGATCTCTTTCTTTTTATACAAGTTCATAACTTTCTGAAATTCAGTTGCTTTGAGTTTCTTTGTATCCTCTGCATTCTGATGTTAATATATATTTTTAAAATTACTATATATAGATTTTCTTGCTTAGTTTGGTCATTAGAGTGAGAATTATGTTTTCTTATGATTATCCATATCCACACTAAAAGTACTAGCTACTTATAAAAATATTACAGAATTAGAAAATGTTTTCATTTTTACCCACAGTTTTACCATTTCTGTAAATTTTAAAAAATTTAAAACTGCAAGCTTCTGTCTGATATAGTTTTTGTTCAGCTGAAAGAACATTCCTTAAATTTTCTTGTAGTACATCTTTCCTGGTGATCAATTTTGCTTCTCAAATATGTCTTTGCTTTGCCTTTATCATATATAAACTTCCTCTGCTTGGATAGGCTTTCCATTTTTCTTTCAGCACTTTATAGATATTTTTCATTTTCTTACATCTTTATTTTTATTTTCAAAGGGAAGTCCATGAGGAGTAAGAAATTATTCTCATGTTGTTCCTCCAAATGTAATATGTTTAAATTCTGTGACTACTTTTAAGGTGAATTAGATTATGATGTGCCATTGTGGGTTTATCTTTGTGTTTATCTTGATTGATAGTCATTGTGCTTGAATCAAACTGAAAAATTTTCTGCTTTTTTTTCCAAATATTTTCTGCCCATCCTTTGATATACCAATATTAAGTACATTTGACTTCTTAATATTTTCCTACTGATCACAGAGTTTATGCTCACTTATTTTTTCAACAATATTTTGGTATTTTATTGCCCTCTTTCCAGGTTCACTGATTTTTTCTCTTTGCTATCAATTTACTAGTAAGCACATCCAATGAATTTTTATTACACACATTCCTATTCTTATTTTAGGAAATTCTATTTCATTCTTTTATAACATTTTATTTCTCTTCTCATTATGTTCATCTTTTACTCTAAATCCCTGAACGTGTTGTATCCTCAGCATTCTGATGTTAATAACTGTCTTATAGTGGTTGTCTGTTAATTCCGTCATCTTCCCCTTTCTGGGTCTTTTTAGATTGACTATTTTTCTCTTGGCTATTTTACATATATATGTGTGTGTGTGTGTGTGTGTGTGTGTGTGTGTGTTGTTGTTGTTGTTATTGTTGTTATTTGCCATCGAGTCAGTCGGCCCCGACTCATAGCGACCCCTCCTTGGGTTTCCGAGGCAGTATCACTACAGAAGTAGGAATGCCCAACCTTCCTTCTGAGGAGTGGCTGGTGGGTTTGAACCGCCAGCCTTCTGATTAGCAGTCAAGTGCCTTAGGCACTATGCTACCAGAGCTCCTATATATATATATATATATATATATATATATGTATATATATATATATATATATATATATATATATATATATATATTTGTGTGTGTGTGTGTGTATATATATATATATATATATATATATATATATATATATATATGTATATATATTTACTCCTTCACCTAATTAGTATTTTTCTTTTTTTGAACAGTGAGCATTAAAATGATTTGTTATTGAGTGGATATTGTCTTCTTCTAAAAATGACTGCACTTTCCTTTAGTATGCATAGGTAGATAGCGTTCCTGGTTTCATTTTAATAGATTCAACACTTATTTTTAAACTTTTTTAGTTTGGGAGCTCTATCATTGGGTTGTCATTGGATTGTTAACCAAAAGGTTGATGGTTCAAACCCACCAGCTACTCTGTGGAAGAAAGATGAGCCAGTCTACTTACAAGCCTTGAAGCCCTGTAAAGTACAGAGTTGTCAACATTTACAGCCTTGAAAACTCAATGGGAGTTGTTATGAGGCAGATAAGGTTGCTATGTTTAGATAAGGTATAGATTAAAAAATCCAGTTTTTTTTTTTTTTTTTTTTTAGTCCTACTACTAAAAAGTAGGCTTTCTAGATCTTTGCTGAATGACCAGGTATTCAAACATTCTTTACCCTCTGTATTATCAAAATTAAAACCTCTCTCAGCCCTGCAGGAGCTCTGGTAGCTGTTCGGCTACAGCTTCTTGCTTCTTGGAAATGTTCTTTCACTAGTAGGCTTTTGTATTTATTTATTTACTTATTTTTGGTCATATCTACAGGAGTCTTAGCCTTCATATGTAACGTGAAGCATTCAGCCAGAGACCCAAAACAACACCTACGTAGATTACTGGTACTCTTAATTCTGATAATTTTCTCCTCTCTGTCCTACTACATTCTGAACTCTGTATCTTTAACATAGTAATATTGTCCATGCTTTGCTTTGCTTCCTCTGATTGATGCTATGATTTGGAAAGTGTCTTTAAGAGCAAACATAGGGTTATTTTCTTTTAGTAACTTCTAAGATTCATAGCCTTTGCCTCTTGTTTTCTAATGTCAGGAAAATGTTGTGTTATATATATTTAACTGTGTTTTTTACTGTTCAATGTGGGAGAGTTCATTCAAAAGTAGTTATTCTGTCCTTAACAGAAGAACAAGACTGTTGAAAATGATCATTCTTATTCATTCCATTACTTAGGTATAAAATAATTCCAAGTTACAATAATATATTATATTTATAAAATTAGATGTTATTTGTATAATTGTATATTTTTAATTTTCCTTCTA